AAGTTATTGCCTTTCTATGAGTTTTATTTTTTCCTTTGTGTTTTCTTTTCTTTTTTTATCCTCTTGTTTGTTTTGTGTTGTTGTTGTTTTGTTTTTCTTTTCCTAAGTCAAAGTTAGTGATTTAGCAACAATTTTCCTACATTTGGGGTTTAAAAATTAGCTACCTTTATCTAATAATTTATATCATATTTTATTGAAAAGCAAGGTTTGAATTGTACTGATAATTTTTTAATTGCTTAGTACATAAGCAATATTTTTCAATATTGAGAAAAAAATTGCTTTCCTGTTTTTTAAATGATCAATATATTCAACAAAGTATATTAATTTATTCTAGTTCTTTTTTAAAAAATGTATTGGACATAACTTTTCTGTATTTGTATATGAATATATAACCAATGTAATTCCACATCACATACAACACAAAAATGCACAGTTATATTCCTTGTGTGTATGATATATCAAAATAGATTCTATTGTCATATATAACTAAAAAGAGCAAATAAAAATTTTTAAAAATTGTTCAACCCTACAAATTTGAATAAAATACCTTAAGTTCTAATGTATTTAAATCATATTCCTTGTATTACTAGTGAAGGAGTAAGAAACTTATAATTGGTTACAGATAGTATTCTCATTTTATTTACACTGAGTCTTTGTGTATGCATGTGTGTGTGTGTGTGTGTGTGTGTGTGTGTGGGTGTGAGAGAGAGAGAGAGAGAGAGAGAGAGAGAGAGACAGAGATTTTGTGTGTGTGTGTGTGTGTGTGTGTGTGTAAGAAAGAGAGACTGGGTGGGGATTGGACCCAAGGGGTGCTCTACCAATGATTTATACCCAAACACCTTTATTTATTTATTTTTAAGTTTTGAGATAGAGTCTTAGTAAGTTCTAAGGCTGTCCTTGAATTTAGGGTACCCCTGCCTCAGCTTCCAAAGTTGCTGGGATTGTACGCACGTACCACAATGCCATGCATTATTTTATCCACATTTATGTTGTAATGTAAGAGTCTGGCAATAATTTTTCATGTATTAGGAATATTTGAATTTTTTTCTTAAATAGGAATATGAAAAATGTTGTATTAGGGATATCAAATAAATATTATTATCTATATAGGTTTCCCTGTTTCTCACTGACACCTGTATTATTTTGTATAATTCTCTACGGCAACAAAACTTTGGCATGTTTTCTCAAAAAGCACATGTTTAATTAAACTCCACTACTGAGGTCTTTTTTTTTTTTTAACAAACTTCTCTTTTCATCATTCAAAGTTTATTTTAATGAAAAATGTTTTACCTTTATTTAGTAAATTTATGTCATTTTCCCAAAGTAATTCATGCACTTGTGGGAGGATAAAAATTAAAAAAAAGCAATATCCAGGAACTTATTTTTTAGATGCTAACCAAAGTGATATACAGAGTAGTTTGCATCATATCATTATAATGCAAGGTTTTGATTTAATTTTGAAATGTAAACATGGGGTTTGAAGAATATCTTTTGCTAGTGTTTGTTTTTCACATAACTATTTCTCTACTGATTGTCAGAAATTATCTCGTCTCAGTTACATATTATTATTACGGCTTTAAAAAGTTTTTTATTTCCTCTTTAAAGTGAAGAATGGCCTAGAAATATTGTTTGAATTTTTACTGTTCTTTTAATCACACCATTAACTCTTTTTTTGTTATAATTCATCTATTACTTATTGTCCTAACTTTTAGTTATTATACTAATTCTTGTGTTTATGATAAATAAAACTTAAAGAAATTAAAATATGAATGTAATTTAATTCCTGCAAAATATGAAACCTTAGTCATTTACATGGCACTTCCAAGAACCTATTTTTTGACAGGCCAATTAATCATCTTAACAAGTAAATAGTTGTATTCTTCCATTTGCTTATTTTTTTAACACATAATTTGGAATGTAGTTTCATTTTTCAATATTTCTGTCATAAAATTTAGGTAGTGAAATTAAATGTACATTGTGTAAGCAGATATCACTGGTTTTTTTGTTTTTTTTTTTTCAATTCATCCCTTCTTAGTTAACAGCATTTTCCCCTGCTTGACTATTTTCCTATTTTGAAATAACAAAGCTCCATTTTACTTCATAGAGATGTATACAAAACCTTTTATCTGGTCTTATCAGAGTTTATTGCCCTAATACTTGAGATGTATTCTTTATAAAATAAAAGCCTCATTGGTAACTTGGGGAAGGAATTTTTGTTTTCCTTGTCCACAGTAAAATACTATTTCTTGGAACATGACAATAGTTCAGTAAATATTTAATAAATATATATGATTGTTTACCCAGAGGAATAAATCGATAATATTCTTCATAGTCTATTTCTTCACTAGTAGGAATCTTCATTCCAATAGAGGGAATTTTAAATATAATACTGCTTTCTACTCCCAACTTGTGTGGAATTGTTTGTTCCAAAGGTCATGCAAAGAAGTAGTAGAGAATATTAAATTTAAATGAAAAAAACAAAACCTATATTTGAAAGCTTTAAGAAGACAAAGAGGAATCATGACTCCTCCTGCTTGACACATACTGGACATAAATTTCTGTCTCTTGAGTGGCCAGAAGATAGTTTTAAATTCTGCTTAGCTTTTTATTAGATATCTATGTTGTATATCAGACTCTAGTCCTGTACAAATTAATAATTCAGCTAAGGGAGAAACTTAAGAGCCCTGTGTTCATTTCTTGCACTTCTTTTTTAATTGAGATTATGGCTCCATTCTTTCTGAATGACTTGCACCTCCCTGTGTTAGTCAGTTTTCTGTTGGCTATGACCAAATACTTGAAAAATGATCTTAGAAGTGAAAAGATTTATTTTGGCTCAGTGTTCAGAGGTTTCAATCCATGGTCACATGGTTCTTTCTGACGTGAGGTGGAACATCATGGCAGAAGGGTATGTCAAGCAAAGCTGCTCACCTGAAGGCGTCTGGGAAGCACAGAGTGGAAGGGTTGGAGATGGAATATACCCTTCCAGAATATGCCCCCATGACTTCCTTCCTTTAACTACATTCCAGTCTTCACAGTTTTCACCGCCTCCCAATAATGACATAAAATTGTGGATCCTTCAATGAATTAATCCACTGAGAAAGTCAAAACCATCACCATCCAATAACATCCCAAGGGCCCTACCTCTGAACATTGCAGCACTTTGGATCATGGCTTCAGTCCAGAAGACTTTGGGGGACATTGATGCTCTCATTTTTATTATTTGCCTCTTTTTTCATTGATAAAGGATCTAACTTATATTCTTTCCATTTAATTCTTAAAGTGGGTACTTACTTACATAAATGAATATCAGCATTCCGTATTCAACTTTAATATCACGTTGCTGTTTATGTCTTGTGATAAATAAAACTTAAAGAAATTAAAATATGAATTTTCATTTCTTTGCTGTACTTTTATTTTAATTGTCAAATTCCTCCCTTAGATTGTCTGTTTTCATAAAATGCTGTGCTAATTTATCACTGGGAAGCAAGGAAATAATGCAACCACACACTTGACTGTCTGTGATTGAAGTAAATAGCATATACCTAGTGATCAATAATCAACAGATATTGAATGCAGCAATGCATATGTCACTGATTGTGATGCATATCTGTTATTTACATAGTGATTTATGGACTGAAGAGCTAGCAGAGAAGATTGTGTTTTATACAATATGCACAGTTGACACACCATGCTAGCTGAAATTCAAGCCATATGTTTTTTTGTAATTGGTGTTGTTTAACTGAACCATTTAACAGAAAAATTTTGTATTAAAGCTATGTAAAATGAGGATTGAATATATGTATATTCAATTTCATCACTTATCAAATAGCATGCAAATTAAAGTTAAAATGTGATCCACTATGTCCTTAATGGCTCTGGAAAGCAGAATTCTGAAATGAAACATGACTCTATCCCTACCTATCAGCCAGCAAGGTAAGGAGATGAGTCCTACTTCCAGAAGGAAGCACATTCTGCCAACAACCTATATGAGCTTGAAGGTGGATTCATTCTACAACTTTTCATAAGTAGCCAGCCTGGCCCACACATTGACCTTTGACTACTAAGATCCTGAGCAGAGTAACCAGTTGAGTCTATCATGTTCCTTACCTACAGATCTTTAATACATTAGATCAGTGCTGTTACTGCTAAGTTTGTGTGAATTTGTTATGCAGCAATACACAATTAATAGACTATTAAAATTTTAGTAGGAAAAGTGTCACAAAACTAACTGTTGTTGTGAATATGGAAAACTGAAACCCTATGTTTTTGTGATGTAAATCAGTATAGTTTGTTCAGAAACCTGGTGGTATCTACTTAGGCAAAACACAAACCACATGAGCATACCCTAAGAACTATTATGATTTTAGATGTTTTTCCAATATAAACCTGTTTGAATACTGACCAAACAAGTACAAGATTGTTTATGGACATAGCCCCAAACTAGAAATAACTCATGTCTATTACCAATAAAAATATACAGAATTGTGGTATATTCATCCAATGGAAACTGTATAGCTTTTAGAATGAACCAACTGTTGCTATATATGGATGAATCTTATAAATATACATTAAATAAAATGTCACCCATGTAAGAATATATGTCAATTTATAATCCTATTTGGATAATGATCAGAAATAGGCACAGCTACTTCATGGCAATATCAGTGATACTAATAATTGATTAAGTTTGGAGCTACAGTGGTGATTGGGAAGGGATGATTGGTTTAGTGTGCTGGCAATGCATGATTTATGTATCTCAGTACTGATTATACAGATATGTTTTGAAGATACATTTTACTATATATGTGTGTTATGCATTTTCTATTCCTCAGCTACAGAGTGGAAAGACAGCATAGAAAATGATAATTGAGGATAATAATGGTAATTAATGTTTTAGTTGAAATATTTCTTTTATTTGACTGAAAAGAGAAAAGAGAAAAGGGGTAAGGGAAAGTAGTTGATAAATAATTTTGACATTTACAGCTTTCTTTAAAATACAGTTTGCAGGGAGGATTCATACCACTCTGTAGTCTCCTGTGCTGCTGTAGTTCTCACTCCAATGGAACCAGCAATAGAAATGAAGAAAAGAGAAGAACCAAAATTTCCTGAGACTTCCAGACAGTAAGTTGTTCATTTAATTTTTCAGGACTTGTGAAATCAATTACAAAACTAAACAGAATAAACTTGATCAGAAACAGTGATGTAAAAGAAATGTGTTCATATTAGATTATGGGGAAAACATAAATGAATCTTGCACATTTAAAAAATTAATCTGTTATTTCAATAAATAACCACCATCTCCTAACTTTATGTGTTTGAACCACTGTCATTTAAGTTGATTTTGTTACCTTAATCTTTCGGACATGAGTAAGTAATCTGGACATTTTACTTAACACTGATTGCAGATGCCCTGTTCTTGGATTGTGTATTTATGTGTGTAGGGTTCAGTGTCCTAAAATGTAATCAGTTTTCAATATAAACTTCTTAACCTAAAGTGTTTTGCATTCTTATAAAGAATATGTGACTATTTATAAATATTTTCATTATCACAAACCAAAACTACACTATTTAAATATATGGAGTCTTAGAAATTGTGAGGTATCATCTGAAACAAAGCACAGAAGGTTTCCAGGCTGCTGGCAATATTGTATTTCTTAATCTGGGTGCTGGTTGTCATAGGTGTGCACATTTTGTAAAAATTTACAAGCTTCAGGCTTATGATCTATACATGCATTTTATGAACATGCGTATCTGTTCAATAAAATAATTTCAATGGTAATATATAAAGTATATTTTGTCATTTAATAATTCAGACTTTTGTTTAAATTTATATTTGATCTTACATTAAATAAATAATAGAATTTCACTCTTATAATAGCCCAAAGATTATTGAATCATGGTAACAAATACAATATATATTTACATCAAATGTTCAATAAACTGCAATTATTTCTAGTTAAACACTAAATGAATGAAAAGGAAAAATCTGCTGCTGATTTTCCAGGGAAAATAGTCCCATGTCTGCTTGAAGGTCTCAAATTAGAGACTATGTGATGTTTTAGGCTGACCCCTACAATAACAGGCAGGAGATACCACTGGATTGCACTGTATTGTAGTTGTTTGCTTCTTGCATTTCTTCCTGCTGGATAATAAGTTTCTAAAGAGAGTTTCCTAGAAAAGGGTAGTGTGTGATATTCTTTGTGAAGTCAACTAGAAAAAAAAATCCCTTAATGCTATATTCTATATTATTGAATTCAAATGGACCAATGCATATATTTGATTGCATGAAGACATTCACTATTAATATTCTCATTATAGAGGAAACAATTACTAGCCAATGCAGAAAGTAATGATTGTAATTCAGTTTTAATATAATCTAAAAGTGAAAACAATTTAACTGTTCTTAATGTAGTCTTATTTTTAGGTTCCAGTAGTCATTTTTTTGTCTAATAGGGAGAAAATTACATCTCATATTTGCCAAGTGAATTATATTAGAAAGCTTAAATGTATTTTCCTGCAATATGTTTGAGTTTACACAAGGAACTTATGTAGTTGTAACTTGGATCTTAAATTCTTTTAATTCTTTTTCAAGAACTCTGATCAAACTGGTGAGTGGTGTTATTACATGTATTTTTACCCAATCTTTTGCTACTTGGTAAAATGTCATTCTTATTCTGAGATATGTAATAGACCAGCATTCATATTTTCATTTAAACATTCTTCCTCAGCAATATGACTAATTTGTACAGATTTTATTAGCCCTTGCTGTTTTGAGTCAGAGAGACCTTTTTAAAAATCTCAGTTTTGCTATATGTTAGAAAGGAATTATTGGTGTTTTTCTAAGCTCTCTATAATTTATTTTCCCATTCTGTTAATTGGGATGGTATTTCCACCCCCACTATGAGGATCACATGAGGTAATGTTACTGAAGGACCAGAGATCCAGCAATCCATAAGGTGCTAGTTCTGTTGCCCTTGCCACAGCTTCAGCTATTGACATTCTGGAGAATTCCAGGCATATATGCCTCTCCCAAAGGCTCTTTTGAATGCAAGTCTAATATTTAAAGTTGTTGAACACACTTGACCAATGAAATGTCCTACCAGAACTTCCTAAGTATGCCTAAAAGCCAATTATTGATCAATTTTAGCCCCCTTAAAATCTTGATTCTTTCTGATTTCCATAGTTATGTAAAGCTACCATCATTTTTTTCTTAAAATCTTAACACATTTCCTTCCTCAGATCTCACATTTTATCAGTTAACAATTCTTGATTAATGTCTCCATTATATTTTTAATACCATTTGAGCAGAGCTGGAAGACATAAATATCTCATGTTTTAATTTTTCTAATATTTCCCTTCAATTGTGATCTTAAGGAAGCTATTTAAATATTTTCTAGCATGCATTTTCAGTTGTGATCTAATTGAATTCATCTTTCAAATGGAGATCACATACCCTATATACCACTGACTGTAATTTTGAGAATTAAATGATGGGTGTGAATATATGAGGGAAAACACAATATAAAATCAAAATTGTTAGCTGAAAATTAAGTTAGAATTCTTGATTTTAAATGAGAACGGACCCAAAGCAAACTGGCTTCAGAAAATGAAGCAGAGTGGTTGTTATTGTCTCATGGATATAGGAGAGAAGGGGTAGATGTGGTCAACACATATGTACAAATATGCCACAATAAACCCCACTATTCTGTATAGTTAAAATGTACTAATGAGAAAAAAGTATTGAGGTAGAAATTTATGTAGAGTTGGGTGTGGTACTCAACCATATTGTCAAGGATTCTTTTTCCTGTCTCCATCTCTTTGGTTTCCTGTCTTGTCCAAGAATTCTCATTTTTCTTAGGTTCTTCAAGTGGTGACATTACTTCCTTCAGTAGCAACTGAGATAGATGCTTATCTTTTCAACAAACAGAGTAATACTAAATGGTTTGTCTTAAATAAAAACAATATGGTCCAGCTTTGAGTGTCATTGGTGTTGACTGCTTAGGTTGTTTGACTTCATTTTTCTGAAGCTGTCCCTTTACCCAAAAGTGTTTGATGACATGTCTAGAACCAGGTTTCCTGGAACATAAGAGAAATTGAAAGGAGAAGGTGATTCAATATTTGAAATATTAATGACTTTGGTAAAAAAAAAAGGCAGAGATCGATGATGTGAGTCAAAATAATGGATGTTCAATACACTTTGCAATATCATCACCAGTCATTTTAAAAATTAGAATTGATTATTATGTTTGAAGATATTGACTACAAATATAAAATATGTGTATCTTCATTTTTTAATTTTAAATAATGTTTACATGTTTAATTTTATTTCATGATATTTGATCTGGTTGTACTTTTGAAAGGCAGTATAACTTGGTGGCAAGGAGACCTTGGGCAAAGTTTTTAAATATTTTTCACTACCATAATTTGTTTACTTTATAAATTATGTATGATTCCTTTTTTTGCCTTGGTGGTGCTGGGAATTGAACTCAGGATCACAAACATCCTAAGCAAGTGCTCTACCACTGAGTTAAGGCTCCACCCATTTGTTAGTTGCTTTTTAATGTGACAGTTACTTTGCCTCATATTGCAAGGTCTCAAACATAATAAGGAGGCAAGAATATATAAATTTTGTAATTCTTTTTACAAGAAATATATTAAATAAGTAACCACATTGCATTTTTATAGATGGATTTACAAGATGGTATCAGTTTTATAGTCTTGTATTTCTCATAAGGTAAACTACTAGAAATAAGATAACAATCTATTGCTATGATACAGAAACATTTGAAGGATAGAAGTTGACATACTTCCTTTGTATCAGGATTAAATTTAATTCAGGATGAAATTACTTCCTTAAGTAAATTTTCCCTTCTATTTTACAGGCTTTTCATATAAATTCATAAACCATTGAATCTTTGAACTATAAGACTCATAAAGTTATCTAATTCAGAGCTTAACAAATCTCTTGTTAAGCACTGGAATAATTTTATCCATATAGGTGATTTTTAAGATTATACATAATCTTACAGAATATGTAATAATATACATAAAACTATATAAAGATGTTGTTTCTGATGGTGTTATAATCTAGCTAAAGAGAAAAAAGACATGCACCTAAAAAATTAAATCACTGTGTAAGTGGAATATATACCATTTGTCCAATGTGAGGTATATATTTCGGTTAGACATATGATTATCTAAGAAGAGATCTGGTTTATAGATCAATATAAATTTATGAAAATCAATTTTAAAAATTGGTTCATTATAGTATTATAATAATTATTATTATAAATTGAGAAGAAACATTTCATGATTGAAATATTTATATTATCTTATCAACTTTTATACTCTGATTACAAATTATTATTTTTGGCAATTTCTTATTAAATATTCTCATGTATTTATCCATTTTTAGGCATATTCAATAGGAAAAATTGTAATTAGGAATTTCTATTAGGAACAAAGTATACATATATTAGCACAATAAATGATAGGAAGAAAGTATGTAAATGTCTTAAGAAGGGAAGCTGCATTTTGTATCTTATAGTAGGAATATTCACAGGTTTTCTGTTGCTGATATATTCAAAATTCATCTTTATTCAGGAAACAGAGGTGTGGATTTTGCTTTACTTGCCAGTTTTCAGATACATAATTCAGAACATCATGGAAAGGATAAACTTTCTAGAAAATAGAAAAATTATGAACTCTCACAAAGAGTACACAGTTTTGGAATATTTCATCCTAAGCATAGATAGTTGGGGTCATCTGAAGTTTTATTAATATTTTAAAAATTACAGTATTGAAAGTATGCTCAAATATCTAGCCAAATTGATCAGGTAACCCAAAAACTATACATTTCTCCAATAAATTACATGCAGTTGTGCACACATAACATGTACATAAAAAATGAAAATTTCAAGGTAATAAAATAATATTCATAATTGTTTTGGGGTTATGTATATGCTTTATGAAAAATATGTTCGCTGAAATGTAAATACTCTGCACACACCATGACTCAGTGTCTGAAATGAAGGGCTTTTATGGCCATTGTAATGTTAGAAATACAGAGGTGAAAGAAAATAAATTTTCCTCTTATTTTTTTGTCTATTTCCATATTTAAA